AGTCACCAGGTGCCCCATGGACTAACAAAAACGTCCACTCAATTTTATGTACATTGCAAATGTATAATTTTTCACTATATTGTACTCTATCTATGCATATGAAAATCACATTGACTAGTTCAATTAATAACTTACTCAAAATATATCTAATAAGCTTAGGCAAGTGACTGATTGTCCTTGTGAGATTCTGTTTTGGAGTGAGAGAGTCCAGGATTCCCATCTTCTTTGGTCACCACGCCCAGTGTGACACGGAGCTACAACGAATTATCTTGGAGCTTACATTTTCTCACACTCACAGTGTGGACCATAACACTCATCTTAATTTAGTGCATATTAAACTAGTAGAATTCTTTATTTATTATTATTATTATTATTATTATTTCAGACAAATTAGATACTTTCTTCTCATTTGGTCTAAGAACATCACTTCATGGCTAACTCTATGGCATGCAGGCAGATGAAATTCTTCAGAAAATTCCATCACAAAATCTAATTCTTTATGTTTAAACCCTTTATCATTGAATGATCACACTTGGTCATTTATAACCTTTCACAACTTCCCCCTGGAGGTTGTTTAAGAACGCCCTTTTATTTGAAATCCCTGGAATTAACCATAATTGTCATTGTTATAATTTACTAAAATTCTCTATTTTGGTGAATTTCTGACTGCTCCTACACTTTAATATCCTTAAGCATAGACTTCAGTCTCATTTTTCTCATAACTCACAAGCTGTGTTTTGCACATAAATGATATTTTATAAAAACTTATGAAAACACATGTATGAATTTATGTTTAGCTTGAATTGTGGCTAGTAATGCCAGAGTTTAATTTTTCTGTACACATGAAAATGTTATCATTTGCATTATTGTGAAGTAAAAAGAAGTTATAACAAAATAGCTCTATATACCAAATAACCTCAAAAAAATAATTACCCAACAATTTAATCCCAACTCATAATGATATACTTGAATACAAAATTTTCCCCAAATATAGAAGTTAGGGAGTCATTTCACTGATTTTTGACCAGTTTCATAATAAATGCAAATAAATGGATAACTATTGACCAAGAAAAGTAGAATTGTCTCTGGGACCATGTGTTTATTTCACAATTATATAAAATATGTTCTAAGGCTTTAATTATCTTTGCCTAACGATGGCTATTATAGTAGTGCTGAAAAAAATTGGAAACATTTGTGTACTGAAAGTTTCTGATAATTTGAAGAAGTGAAGTTTTGGAACTTCTATCTTTCTTAAAATTGTCAAGATTATTATCATAAAAACAGCAAAGTAATGAAGGATAAAAGGATTATTAGAAGTCTAATAAAATTATTTGGATCTCCAACTATAGCAACACTGATTAATGACTGTATTTTAATTAATTGGAAGTTGTTCAATCATAGTAACATTTCCTTCGCCTGAGATTTTTTATGTGAGGGTCAGGCCAAAACACATGCTAGTTAAATCTGCAATAAGGTATACTTACATAATTTTTTCTCCTTGGCAGTATAAGTGTAAATTATTTATTTCTCAGTCATTCACCATGTGCATAGTTTCCTGCTCAGTTGGCTAGTTTGATCAATGAAAACAGCCTTATGCATTAGAATATGAATAAATTTTACTTTTAAACTCTGTGAATTCAAGCAAAATAAAACCCATAATAAGCTATTGTTATTGTAAATCTTTAATTACTGTGTGGTATGCATTCAGCCTCCTTATTTTTCACATGGATACATAGCATTTACCCCAGCAGACTTCCTTGGGGTCTAATATCTACACAGTGGTCTTGGAATAGGTACTGGAACAGAACAGGGGTACCTATTTTAGAAATGTTAATTTAACATCACTCTTATACTGTATAAGATTTATACACACACCTATATGGATAAATGGATAAGGTATATATTATGTGTCTAAGTTCCAGTTCTGCATATTTCCCAGTAAGGACCAACATAACTAATGAGAATCCACACACAAGGGTTTTCTAATTTGCATTTAGGTAAAAACTAGAGCTAGCATATGCCCTAATCATATTGACAGCTAAAAAACCCCCAGATTTCTCTAAATGTGAAAAATCTAAGGGGCGCCTGAAAAATCTAAGGTGGCTCAGTGGGTTAAGTCTCTGCCTTCGGCTCAGGTCATGGGCTCTGGGTCCTGGGATCGAGCCCCGCATCGGGCTCTCTGCTCAGCGGGGAGCCTGCTTCCCTTCCTCTCTCTCTCTGCCTCCTCTCTGCCTACTTGTGATCTCTGTCTGTCAAATAAATAAATAAAATCTTTAAATTAAAAAAAAGAAAAATCTAAAATTGAGGCTCAGTGTCAGGTACTTCTACTGCAAAAGTGCACACACCCTCATTTCATTGTCTAGGTGGGCCAAGTAGAGTCTCTGACGAGGTACCAGACCCACTACTATCCAACCCTCACACCATGGTGATGGTCTGGGTGGTCCAAACAGCTGCTGGGGAGAAAGAGAACTTCCTGAGCCCCAGGTGATTAATGAACTATCTGCTGACTTTCACCCTGAGTTAAGGTATGGAAGCCTACTATTCCTACTTCAAGAAATATGGTTTTTGTGTCTATTAATAGGAAGGTTTAGGTAAGATTAGATAGTTTCTAATAAATAATATTTTGTTATGATCAATATGCCTTTGGCAATACTTGAAGAGACCGTCTCTGCTTATTTGTCACTTATTATATGCAAGCCATTAGAGTGAATGGTTCAGGGAGGTCTTACACTCCACAGTTTAATTCACATTCACCACATTTGCCAAAGATCTTAGAAAACCAACATTTATTTTCTAACTATAATATAGTTAAGTTATCCCCCAACCTTCTGAGCAAAATAATTCAAAGTTAATATGAAAGGAATAATGAGTAACAAATGGAATAGGATATGGTATAGGAGGGGGAAAAAGATACCAGATGTGAAAGGAAACCAGGAAAACACCATAAAGAAAACGGGTGTCCTCTGAAAAGGGGAGACTGGCGTTCCGTTCTCCTGATGATATGTTTACTCAGGCCGCTGACTGGATGATCCGCTCTCAGAGCCTAACTGAGCAAGGAGAGCAGATGTGAAAGGAGATGGCTGCACAGAGAAACCATTCAGTAGAACAGCCTGGGAAGTCCCTGTCCAGTGTGACAAGGATGTGTGAGTTTCCTCAGGGTCAAATGAGCACAACAGGAAGCTAAAATTGAGAAATCATGCTATAAACTCTCCAAAGAAGACTGTCCTCTCTATGCAAGGGGACCCTGGAATTAAGAGGTTGGAACCCAACTTTGGGTTCCCAAATCAAGTTCCTATGTGGATAGGATGTCCAGAGCCCCCCTACATCAAATAACTCAAAGATCACATAAGAAGACAAAGTTTTGGCAACTGCCTTCACTGTCAGTCCCTTTTTAGCCCTAGAAGCAGTGGCAAGCAATGGAGTATTATATGGGGGCAGGTAAGAGAGACTCATGTATCTGTCCTTGCCTCTGTCCTTTCCACTCTAATTCTCTAGCCGGAGAATCTATCCCCCCACCAGCGAGGGCCACCGTTTCAACTTACGATGTGCTTGAGTTCTGCGGTCATCTATTCCTGTGTAACAACAAATGGCCCTAAAATGCAGTTGCTTGAATTAATTACTGTTTTAGTCCTTCTCCCAGTGTTGTGAGGTAAGCATCTGGGCAGGGTTGGTCTGGGTGTATGTTCCATTTCACGGGGCATTGGTAGAGGTTGCATTGTGGTATTCCGCTAACAAATGGCCTGGGCTAGAGATCCCAAGACAGATTCACCCGCATACAAAGCACACTGGTAGGTATGAGCTGAACTGCGATGGTCAACCTGACCACCAGTGTGTGACCTCCCAAGTATGGCAGCCTTGGGGAAGTGAGTTTACTCCCATGACAGGTCAGTGTTCCAGTAAACAAGGTGGACACTGCATGTTCTTTTACGTTCGTCTTACCCTTAATAATCAGAGTAATGACAACATAATGAAATCAGCTGAAGATACCATTAAGGCCTGAGAATAGGTGTCTGACTATTCATATTTGGAAGCAATTGTTGAAGATAAACAAAACTATTTAATATTTACACCCCATTGAATTGAGACTGAACAAAAACCCCTCAACAGAAGCATTCACAGTTAGCTCTCCCTTGCATAGAAAAATGAAATTAGCTGCCACAGTATGTGTACCAGATAAACATAATAAAATGAGAAAGAAACAAAATGAAAGATGCTCAGAAGGGATTTCCCCAAATCTTTCAAAAGACCGTAAGCAGATGGATGGGAAGATGCACTTTCTTGTGCAGACAACTACATCGATAACCACCCACCCCACCCCAATCTGTTACCTTAGGAAGTCGTGATAGTATCCTAGGTTGTTCAGACAAACATATTGAGAGCTATGTCACTCTCAGTTTAGAGGAGTCTCTTCTGGACCAAGCAGAAATCAACACAAGGGATCGGTCTTAACAATCCTTTCGATTTTGAGTGACTCCTTAAAGAAAAGCACTTAAAGCTCCTGTATATTGCAGTGACATTCATTAAAAAAAAAAAAAATACATTAAAATTACATTCTAAGGAAAGGAGAGAGAAGGAAGGGGGTGATTTTAAAATACTCTCTTCAGTTTCAGAAATTATTTCAGAATGGATGATTCCGTGTGAGAATTCATTCCTCCTGCCTGGCCTCAGGAGCTGCTGATACTGTCTACGGAGGTCCGGTGTGGAAGAGAAGTTGGAACGCCGGTGGGTGATATTGGAGGGCACAGCGTGGAAAGGAATGAGGTCACACAATGAAATGCGCTGCTAGATATTCATGCAAGTCTGCAAACAGGGCTCATTGGCAGCTGTCACAATTCCTCTGGACTTATGCTCTGAGGAAAAGGAACAGGTTTCCGAGTTTCCCCAGGAGACCACTCAGCTGTCAGTACAAAAAATGAAAAAAACCTCAACAGGGACTCGTTTAAGAGTGTTCAATCCAAAGAATTGCAGTGTAACATTGATTCTGTCCATGCCATACTTACTAACTTTACTCGCAATTATGGAGAAATTATACTGCGCGGTGCTTTCTCTGTCTAGTAATTCATTAGTGGCAATGGTTCCTTCGGTTCCGTCTATTGTAAAGTAGCTGTCCCCATCACTCTTCCAATCTATGAAGTACCTGTGTAGAAAGAGAGTGGATGCAAATGTGCAATGATTACACATGAATCATAATGGCAGTCGGGCTAACTTGATACAGTTTCTTATTTTTCTCCCCGTAGCTATTACCCACCTTGCAATAAAGAAGAGTGTCAATGACAGCTTCTTTATTGCAAAGTTAGTATGCTCAAGGGGAAACTGGAAATAATGAAAGATTTAGTACTCCTGCTGTTCATATTATTTTAGGGTCTTGACACCTTGAAAGCTCAGCAGAGACTAAAATTCTAGAGCTGACCATGGGTTTCCTTAACCTGCTGAATATTAAAACTTTTCCAAGTAGTGAAAGATTCCATGGTGGCTGTGAGAAGATCTGGGGAGGGGGAACCGTCTGAATTCAGCTGCAAAGAACATTGGCCAGAACAGACGTAGAATCTTCATTTCCGCAGATAGAAAAAGAAAAAAAAATCATATTGTGGAAACTGAGGGGCAATTTTGTAATTGACAATGCGGCAATTGTACAGAAGTATTTTCCTCAAACACATATAAAAGAGCCACTATTGTTTTATTACTCTGTGTATCAGGACAACTTTCTATAAAATAAACAAAACAGTGAACTTAGCTAATAATGTCCCTTTATCTTCTTTATTAGCTTACCTATTTGCTAACAACAGATGTTGCCTTCTTTATGTGCAGCAGCTGGACTAGAACAATCCAAGAAAATTAATTAGAAAAAAAAAAAAACCCAGAAACTGAATTTATATAAATCTTTATGTAGCAGATATATAGAGTGAAAAAATCTTTTTCCAACACATATTTTTATCATAGTAATAAAATTTTTGAAATCTTACCATGTACCAGATACTGTTCTAAATACTTACATGTATTACCTTACTAAAGTCCTACAAAAGCCCTAAAAACTAAGTATTATTCATCTCCCTACTTTACCAATGGAAAAACTGAAACACAGAGATACTAAGGAATCTGCCCCAGTTCACATAGTTGGAAAGTTTTAGAGCTGGTCTTTGAACCAGTTTATCGATGTTTTCTGTATAACTATCATCCTGTAATCTTACCATTTTTAAATAGGACATTTTATGTGAAAGGGCTCTGCTCACCAAAATGCTCAATGAGCAATATATTTATCACCATGACTCTAGCCTGGGAATCACAGCGAGGTCAACAAGCAGACAACATCAGGCCAAACAAAGTTAGCCAAGTCATGTACTTCAAAGTAGAAACGTTAAGATACCTAAACTACAAAGCTCCCACACAAACCCCTAAAACACAGAGCACGGGTACATATGGCCAGGCCCTGTTCCACGCAACCATGTTTTTGCTTACCTCTTACTCACTGTTCTCTGGCATCTAATCTTTGGCTCTGTCACCTCATAGAGTTTTGGTACATCCCTTCTCTGGATGTGATCCTCTCAGAAAGTTTCCTGCCTTCTTCTGGAGTCCTACTGAAACTTGTCTGACCCTTTTCTACTCAACAGTACACCTTCAGCATCTTCCTACAGCTGATCAGACTGCAAGATGGTGGCTCTAGCACTAGGTCCTGGCATTGCCCTGACATCCTGTCTTTGTGTGATGGACTGACCCCTGGGTCTGACTAAACCGTAACCATAAGGCAACAACCACCACTTTCCATTGTGATGTCCTGCCCAAGATAGCAATTAAAAGAACTGGCCATCAGTGAAACTGGAAATGAACTACTCCTACATTTCCTAGAATTTCCTAGACATTTTCAGAAGAGACATGACCCTGTCCTAAAATGTCTAGATCATTTTTCAGGAGATAATTTCTCCCAGAGTGTAGATCCCATGTTTGCTCTAGGTTTGTCAGAGCTCACAGCCAACCTAAGGCTGGAATTATATTTTAATTGCAGTTAATCACAACAGTGTAATAATGGATTGTCTCATTTGTCCTCACACACCAGTGTAAATGAGCAGAGCCCTGAAATACAGAATTTGAATCACCTTATGTTTATTTGGTAAGTAGATAAGATTTAATTTTTTAAAGGTGTTTATGATCTATATATGATGAAACAAATGTATAGTTCATATAAGTATGCAGCCACTGTTGCTAAGAAACCTGTTTTAACAACTGAATAGAAATAAAAAATTAACGCATTAACCTAATCTGTGCAGACCACTTGAGAGAGTACAATTTTATTACTTTTCTGTAAATGAGTTTTCAGAAATGCCTTAAAAAGTTTTCTTCTCTTCATTAGGTAAGCATTCTCCTTAAAATTGTGTCTTTTAATTTGCCTAATAACTTTCTCACAGCTAATGGAAAAGCTAAATTCTCAAACACATTTTGTAAAAAGTACTTGATGGTACCGAGTTACTCTAAAAAGTATTACATCTCATTCTTTAAGCAATAAAGATGTAGGAGTAATGATTCAGGTCAAGGTAGGAAACTTTTTTTGTTAATGTGATAATAATCAAAATCTCTTCCCTCTGTCTTCTCTTAGTCACTGGTTGTTTTTTGTTTTGTTCTGTTTTTTTTTTTTTTTTTTTTTATTTGTTTGTTTTTGTCTTGGGGAAGATAATTAAATGAAAGTAAATTCAGTTCAATTTATTTCCACATTTTATTAAGAACCTAAGCCACATACAACAACACTAAGATTATAATTGCTTCATCAAGAATCACAATTACATGCTTTTCTTAGAAATCCTAACATTTCTTTCGAACATTTTAAATAGTAGTTGCCATTTTCCTATTAGCTCCTCTTCATTTTTTTTTTCCCTAATCCTCCTCCTCATTCTAACTTTTCTCTTAGTAAAATTAAGAGTTACAGATAGTTTAGAGAGCTTCTCTTGTTTGTTTGATGTAAAAGTAAACATTTTATAAAATTATAATGATTTAATAAAGGCATAACCCTTGTGTCTTCAAATTTTTCATTTGGAAGCACATAATATGATTAAAACACATCTTTAAAGAAAGATAAATGCATCATAATCTACAGTTATTAAAAATAGTTGTTATATTTTATTTCCCTGTAGTTAATTAAGATTTTCCTTTTTTTTTTCCCCTTAAGGGTTTTATTTATTTATTTGAGAGAAAGGCAAAGGGAGCATGACAGAGGGAGGGGCACCAGGAGAGGAAGAAGCAAACTCCCTGCTGAACACATGGCCTGACTTGGGGCTCCAGCCCAGGACCCTGAGATTACAACTTGAGCCGAAGTCAGATGCTCAACTGACTGAGCCACCCAGGCACCCCAAGATTTTCTTCTCAAGTCATTTTTACATAGTCCTATATGATCTGACTTGTATCCATTTATGTAACTGGATGCTAACTTTATCTTCCCCCAACATTTTATACCCAGACTTTGGTTTATTCTTCAGAGACTCTGAAGCAGCTTGCTCTAGTGGGAAGAAAGTAAAGTTTAGGCAAATATTAATCTAATTTGGGTTCAGTTTCAATATTAAACTGGTAGTCTCAGTTTTCTCATGTATCTTTTTTTAAATTTTTATTTATTTATTTGACAGACAACTAATATCTGGACACTTAGCCATTGAGATTTCCTTTAGTATATCACTAGAATAATATAAAATTTGTTTAAAAATAAAAACAAACTCATTATTGACTCTCAAGATCCAATCCACATGAAAATTAGACCTGTAAGTTTGTATTACAGACCTATGGAATGTTGTCAATAAATTCTCAGTTATGTCTAAATCTTATAAGAACTTTGTGGTTGTTCTAGAAAAATAAAAGGTACTGAATCTCAAATAACATTTTATTTCAATACATACCAAAAAATTGTTAATAAAACAATTGTATAATTTGGTATTTGTTTTTTCAGCCTGACAAATGTCAATATTGTCATAGTTCAAGTAAACATTTTCCAGATTTAGGCAGTGCCTGGGTGGCTCAGTCAGCTCAGGTCATGATCCTGGGGTCCTGGGATGGAGCCCTGCATCAGGCTCCCTGCTCAAGGAGGAGTCTGCTTCTCCCTCTGCCCCTGCTTGTGCTCTCTCTCTCTCTTTCTCTTTCTTGCTCTTTCTCTCATGCATGTGTTCTCACTAACAAAATCTTTAAAAAATAATAATTTAAACATTTTTCAGATTTAATTAAAGTTGTAAGGTTTACATCAGGGAAACAGATGCAAAATGTTTAGAGTACTTTCAAGTATCTAATAAGGTCCATAGCTACTATATCTTAAGGAATTAAATATTGTATATTTTTACTGACTTGTTTTGACTTTTTATCAATTTTGTTTAATAGGCTACTGAGAACTATGATATTTTAATTATATTTTCAGCAATCTTAAGATTAAAAAGCAGCTCAAACACTTAGATGAGTAACTCAATCACACTGAAGAAGGGGAGCTATTAGTTTGACTTTTAGAATCCGGCTGCTTATGGTTAAATCTTATTCTCATACTTACTGAAGACATAACTGGATCTTCCTGGGCCTCAGTTTCTCTCACTGTAAAATAATGTCAGTTGTGATGTTTAAACAAATCTGGCCAAAACGCTCAACTCAAAACCAGGAATAAATTAGTTAGTATGATGTCACTGTACGTTGGGGCATCTGGGTGGTTCAGTGGGTTAAATGTCTGCCTTTGGTTCAGGTCATGATCCCAGGGTCCTGGGATGGAGCCCTGTATCAGTCTCCCGGCTAGGTGGGGGGCCTGCTTCTCCCTCTGCCTCTTCCCCCCACCCTGCTCACACCAGTACTCGAGTGCTTGCTCTCTCTCTCTCTTTCAAATAATAAATAAATAAAATCTTTAAAAACTGATGTCACTATACATTGACAGTTAGTTGTCACCACAGCAAATAAAAGTCAACTTGTCCATCTGGTACATGTTATTTGCAGTAGCTCCTATTTTACTGATTGTCCATGGACTGGTCATGTGAGGAAAAAAGCAATGAGTTTATTTACAAAGGATCTTCTCACTCTTCATAGCAAGTTAAGTTCTCGATCAACAACATCTCAAGTGAATTATTCTTAATCATTCTATTGGTGTAAATTCAGAGGGAATGCTTCTTTCATTTCCAATGCAATCAAAATAAG